GTGGACTTTATAGATTTAGGAAAACATGATCTACCTCATTCATGATTTTCTCCACACTGACTACACGTTGAAGTAATCACGCAGGTGTCTTGTTAGACGCAATGGCATCAAGATGCGTTATCCCTGCCTTTTTCCTGTTTCTGAAAGGCCACTAGAAAGCTTTCAGTGGCACACACCCTATGTTGGCGCCCACCCCGTTTCCAGCACACAACTATCCTATGCGCGCCCTGTACTATCTGCCTCCCCGCGCGGGGGTGCTCCCTGCCGTGCCCCCACTGGCACGTGGCCGGGCACGTAGTCCAGGCTCGTTGTCACGTGAGGGAATGGTGGAAGAGGGCCCCCAACTCCTTCCCAGGCCCGGCTCACCCTCTCGGCTGGCATCTGCTTCGTGTTCCGGCAGGGTCTCAACAGAGCTGACCCATCGCAGGCCGGGTCCTGCGGGACATGGGAGGGGCACAGGGCAGCAGCAGGCAGGTCACTGGGAATTGGGGAGCTGAGGGAAAGCAGGACACTGCCCCTCACCTTCACCGTGGGAGCTGGGCGCCCCCAGAGGCCCTCCTGGTCTGCGCTGCCGGAATCTCTGCCTGGGGGTATCACCGTAGCTGAACGACTCAGAGCCTCGCACCACCGGGAGTCTGGAGCTGAGTTTCCGCCGCTGCCCACCTGCCAGGGTCTCATCCCGCAGGCAGAGGGAGCTCTGTGCCCGGCGCATGGGTGCCGGGGATGGGGACCCTGCAAGAGGGACGGGCGGGGCGGTGTCCAGTGTGCAGGGAGAGGCCGGCAGAACGGAGGGGCCAGCAGGGCTAAGCCAGCCGGGGCGGGAGAGGCTGCAGAGGCTGCAGAGGCAGAGTAGGCAAACGCGGGCAGGCAGGCTGTGCCTGGGCTGGCGCTGGCCCGGCTCACCGTGTGCCGGGCCAAGGCGTGCCCACCCTGGGCCTTGGTCTCCTCAGCTGCCGCCCCGACCAAGGGCCGCCCACTACATTTCCCAGCTCCTCAGAGCTCTCAGACACCACAGAGGACGGGGAGGGTGGTGGCAGCGCAGGCCAGTGGGAGGTGCCAGCAGAGAGGAATGCAGCAGGGGTGCAGGGCAAGAACCACTGGAAGCATCTGGGGGTGGGGGGCTGCAGCAAGGAAGACCAGCGGGCACCATGTGCACAGACACAGGAAGGGAGAGCAGTGGCCTCACACATGGGCAGGGGCCGTCCTGGTCACCTGGTCCCCAGACCCACCTGTCCCATCTGCCTCCCTGCCCTCGCAGAGTTCCGTCTCTGGGGGGGGGCCCAGGCTCTCGGTGCTGCCAGCCCCATCGGCCCCCAAGCGTGGGGCCCCCGGGAGGCCCCCCTCCCGCCGGGGCCGCATCAGCCTCTTCACCTTGTCTGCCAGCCAGCTGCCCTTCCTGGGGGCAAGAGGGCACAAGAGGGGGTAAGACCAGGGAGGAAAGAGGGACAAGAGAGCCCTGTGGGGGGTGGCCACGGCCAGGCAAACCCTCACTGGGGCCTGGACCTGAGCTGGGTGGGGGCAGCAGGCCCAGGGGCAGGAGCTGGGAGAGTCCCGGTGGGCAGGCGGGGGGCGCGGGCGGGTCTGCTCACTTGGTCCGGGGCAGGGGCCCAGGCTCCAGCACGCGGTATTGGTCCATGATCTTCTCCACCAGCTTCTGCTTCTCGCGCCGCAGGGCGTTGAGCTGGTCCCTGGTGGGCGGTGGGCGTGAGGCCCGGCGGGACCCGGGGGGGCTTTGCAGGCGCGCGCCACTAGCTGTGCACGCGCACGCTCACGCGCGAGCACGCTCGCGGCCTCCTGCTCCCCACCCCCAGCCCCCCAGGCAGGGCTCCGGCTCACAGGTGCTCCCGCTGCTCGCGGTGCAGGTGGTCACTGCTCTGCAGGCTGCGCTCCAAGAGCTCGCGGTTCTCCCTGCTCAGGGCCTGCACCTCGGCCAGCAGCTGGCGGTTCTCCTCTTCCTGGGCGCTCCGCAGCTGGGTCAACAGCTGCAGGGCAACAGCAGGGCGGGTGGGGTGTGGCGGGCGCGAGGCGCTGCCCTCCGCCGGCCCGCCGCCCCAGCCGCCGCGGCCACCGCTCACACCTCACACTGCGTGGTCAGCCGGCAGGCGCTCAGGTCCAGCTGCTGATTGGACTCTCGCAGCCGCTGGCTCTGCGCCTCCAGCTGTGCCCGCTCCAGCTCCAGCCGTGCCAGCCGGCCCCGCAGCTCCCCACGTTCGCCCTGCAGCTCCCCTCGCTCCCGCGACACCTCCGCCAGCAGCACCTGCGCTCTGCAGAGACCGAGAGAGCCGGTCACCGGCGCGCCCCGGACTCCTCAAGCAGAGGAGGCAGAGCTGGCCCAGGCATGGTGGCTCGCCCACCGGGGACTGGACCGTCACAGTCAGGGTCACCGGGCCCCGGGCCCAGGGGGCGGGGTCAGGCGGTACCTTTCGTGCTCACTCTGCAGCCTCCGCAGCTCCTCCTCCAGACCCTGCTGGCGATGCCCGTCCCGCATCAGACGCTCCCGCTCTGCCAGCAGGGCCAGCTCCTGAGCCTCCACGCTGGCCCTCTGCGCCTGCAGCTGCTCGTGCCTGGGGTGGACATGGGACCATGCGCGCTGCAGGGACCTGGGGCTGGGCGAGCAGGGGGCTGGGCCATCTGCCCAGCCCACTCCTACACCAAAGCCCCCAACAGAGCCACAGGGCGGGAGCCTTGCAGAGGCCCACCCCTGCCGACAGCAGCGGAGCCCAGGTGAACCGCCCTGGGAGAAGGGGACCCAGCCACACCAGGGGGCGAGCGGTGGAGGTGGTCTGCTGGGTGAGGTTACTGCCCTGGTGGGAGAGACCCGCCAGGAAGTCTGTCTCCTGGGCCAGGTGGGGGAGCTGGTGCAGGTGCCCGCTGGGCGGAGGCTCACCGGCCCTGCAGCTCCCGGTGGGCCAGCTCCAGCGCCCGCATGTTGGCCTTGAGATCGCGGTGCCGGATCAGCAGCCCCTCCAGCTCGGCCTCCTGCCGCCGCTGCAGCTGCGCCAGAGCCTCGTGGTCCCGCAGCAGGGCCTGCTGCTGCCCGCGGGCCTCCTCCTGGGACCGCCGCGCTGCCTGGACCTCCTCCTCCAGCACCCCCAGCTTCCTGTGCAGCTCCTGGCCCTGCGTCTCCAGGGCGGACTTCTCGGCCTAGGGCGCAGAAGGGAGGCGGAGACTGCGGGGACCCCAGGCCAGAAAGGGGTGAAGGGACTAGGGGCGAAAGGCAGAGTTCAGGAGAGAGCTCTGCAGGGGATTGAAGGCGGTGATGGACAAGGAGAGGGAGGCGTCACAGAGCAAGCACTGAGCCTTAGGGACGGGCAGGGTGTGGGGGTCCAAAGGGAGCTGAGATGGGGGCGTGGAGAGGGGAGGGCTGGGTGACTATGGCCTCTTCTGGAGATGAGGCGAGGCAGGGTGAAACGCGCACAGACGCGGGGTCCCGAAGCAGGTGCAGGGGTAAGAATGGGAAGCAGGCAGGGTCAGGCCGAAGGGCAAGTGGGTGAAAGTAGCAGTGAGGAAAGTGGTGCAGAGTCGCCGGCTGGGCCATGGATCCCAGACTCGAGCTGGGGCAGGTGGGC